GAGGTTGCTGAGGGTTCTGATGTTGCTGAGGGTTCTGAGGTTGCTGAGGGTTCTGATGTTGCTGAGGGTTCTGAGGTTGCTGAGGGTTCTGAGGTTGCTGAGGGTAAGGATTCTGAGGTTGCTGAGGGTAAGGGATCAGAGGTTGCTGAGGGTAAGGGATCTGAGGTTGCTGAGGGTTCTGAAGTCGACGTTGCAGGAGGTTCTGAGGTTGGTGAGGGTAAGGATTCTGAGGTTGCTGAGGGTTCTGAGGTTGCTGGGGGTTCTGAGGTTGCTGGGGGTTCTGAGGTTCCTGAGGGTTCTGAGGTTGCTGAGGGTTCTGAGGTTGCTGAGGGCTCTCAGGTTGCTGAGGGTTCTGAGGTTGCTGAGGGTGAGGAATCTGAGGTTGCTGAGGGTGAGGATTATGAGGTTGCTGAGGGTTCTGGGGCTGCTGAGGGTTCTGAGGCGTCTGATGGTACTCAGGTTTCTGGGGATACTGAGGCATTTGAGGGTACTTCTGTGCCTCTGCTTCCTTGCTAGCCAAGCGGCATAGCAGAGCTAGTGCTGCCAAACAAGTGACACTCCAGTGTCTTGCCATGACCTCACAACTGTCTGGTCTGGTTACTCCCCAAGTCTCCACTTTCTGTCTGCTGTTTCATTTATGTCTTCCCAGGCATAATGCTTTACAGACTCCACCCATTGGGGAAATAATCATTTCCAGCATTCATACAAAGGGGGGCAATTCTGTCTTATCAGATCAGGTCAGTGAGTTAGATAACAGTATGACATTATGTTACGGGTCACAATAACTTTTATGTGGTCTATGCACCCCAAAATTTATCTTTAGCAAATGTTTGTTTTATTATCACATGATCACAAACACATTGATCTTTTCTCTGGACTTCCAGCTTCATTTGAGCTGTACCTCAGCTAATGTTGTTTTCATTCTCACATTTACTAGATCTTCTATTATTTATATTTGTATTATAAGTACAAACAATGTCAAAAACCCAGTAGAAAAGAACATTTAGCATAGAATTGCCTCAGAAATTAAATGTAGAGGTTTTACATATTTTCTTTGCCTTGCTTTGTATTTCTGACCAGGATTATGGTTTGAGGTTAATTTTCAAAAGTGAGTTTTGAACATTAAATATATGTAACCATTGTTATATTTAATGATAGCATTACACAGTCAGTGCAAATCACTGGTGTTAAGGTGTTATTGGATTGATATCTTGGTACTCCAGAGTCCATTGGACTACTGTAAATAAAAACTTAAGCACACACAAAGTTTTAAAATGATTTTAAACTTTGTGAAATGGAAAGTTATCATGGTAAGTAACCATACGGACACTGTTCAATAATGGATTGGCTTGTTCATAATCAATACTCAGATAGGTCACAGCATTTAATTAATGCTCCATTGATGCTTTGGTGCCCAAAGTATATCAGGAACATATCCCCTACACAGACATTTTTCCAATCAGTAATTTTCCAATTCTGGTGAGCCTGTTAGGCATGTAGCCTCTGCTTCCTGCTCATATCTTACATGAAAATTATCTGGTGAGATCTTCTGCTGCTAAAGCCCATTTTCAAAGTTTAAGGTATAACCCATTCAGAGATAGCTTTGACTGTCATGATCCGTGGTTTTCTGTGTGTTTTTGAGTTTTTCAATGTGTTCCTGTTTCCCTGTGAGTCTCTGTCCTGT